TATACGTATGGTTGCTCTCCAGTGCGGATTTTATGATGGGCTTCAAAGTGTGAAAGCTGAATGAAACCCTTACCGTATCCCTCACATTTATGGGGTTTTTATTCCATGTGGACTCTCTGATGGATGTGAAGAGTTAAGCTACAAATAAAGCCCTTTCCACATTCCTCAAATTTGTATAGTTTCCCTCCTGCATGGACTTTACAGTAACTATGAAGTGCTGAATTGCAATGCATCATATGCATCACCTTTGAATGGCTTCTCCCCAGTGTGGATTCTCTAATGGTCCTGAAGGTGTGAGGTGGGAATAAAGACTCTCTTACACTCCTCACAAGTGTATGGCTTCTCTGCCTGTGTAGACTTTGCAATGAACTTTAAGTGCTAATCTACAACTGAAGCCTTTCTTACATCCCTGACATCTGTGTGGTTTCTCTACAGTGTGGGCTTTCTGAGTTTATAGACATGAGCTCGGAATGAAACCCTTACCACACTTACAGCATTTCTCCCTCATGTGAACACTCTGATAAATATTAAAAACTGAGCTATAACAGAAGCCTTTTCCATACTCACTACATGTATAAAGCTTCTTAAGTCTAATTGTGATAAAGATCAAAGTTGAAGACATCACTGAAGATTTTTTTACACTCATTACACTAGTAGTCCACTAGAATCCTGGGCTCACGGATTGGAAACTCCAGATTTTTGATATTATTAGAGCCATCTCTTTTGAGGTTCAAGATACACTTTTCATCTTTAGAAATCTGAACTAGTGTTCCTGCCCACAACTGGCAGGGGGAATAACCTTGTTTGTGAAACTAAGAACAATTTATCATGAAGTCTTGACATCTGAATGAATCACTTGCAGCTTAATGCCAGATTGCCCAGCAGGAAAGTTCTTGATATGGCCCTGCTTCTTGAGCAGTGCTCATCTCACTTTGCATGCTGCCTCCTGGAAAGATAGAGAATTCAGAGATGTGGACAAGTGAGCACTTGTTTCAGAGATGCCAAGATTTTATGCTTAGGACACAGTATGACTTCAATAAACCCCAGGAAAGCTCAGCTTACCTTTTTCACCATCTAACATGTTCTGTGATTTATATGCCTCCAGAAACCAAGAAATAGTCCACGAGGCTCCAATCGACTGAGCATTAGTGAGACCCATTTAGGACCAAGTCTCATATGTGAACTACAAATTTGAAATCAGCTGGCTGCAAAGAAATAAAAAGACAATGGCTGAAAACAAAAACAAGAAATAACAAAAAAATCCTCACCTCAATTAAGAATGAAACTTCATAAATCTTGTCAATAGAACCCACTCCTTTTGGTAATGGAATTATAATGAGAAAAGTAGATGGAAATACCATATGTTTAGAGGTCGTGCTCCATCAGGAGGAATATTTTGAGGAAGAGTTTAAAAGGGTTTGTGACATAGACAAAGATCAAGTCACAGGGAAAATTCAGTGTTATGTATAAGTGTCAATTTTAGATTGAGAGAGTTTTGGGGTATAACATATACTCCCATCCATTGGGTTATTTTTCCTACTGAGTTTCATTAAAGTCCATGTTGATCTTAGATAATAAATTATGTAGTTGCATGAAGAAGTGGAAATTTTAAGGAAAACCAATAATAATACTTTGCATATTTGGGTTTGTATTATATATCCTAATAGTAAATATTAAAAAATAGAAGTGTTAAACCTAGATATTCAAAACACTCCTGGAAATTTTCTACACATGTGCACATA